CTTCAGAATTTCAACCTGGGGACTTTTCATTTGACCAAAACAGGTCATGTGGCCACTCCCAGCTTCCTAGGGAGAGAGAAGGGCATTCTTATCATGTGGTGGAAAGCCAGAAATGCTCAGTCTTCAGCACTAATGACAGCCATAGCACCCAACAAATGGCCCTTGCTTTAGCACAGTTCTGTTGTGACGGCCAAGGTAACCTGGCACGTGTGGTTGTCACTCTTGTTATTTCCATCGTTCGTTGCCATGATGCTTTATGCGCTTGCTCTGTCTGCAGGAAGCCTGAGACATTGCCTCCTGGTGCCAAGGCTGGGCCTTCAGCTTTTTAGGAAAACACCCCTGAGAGAATTATCAGTAATGACATAGATCAATGATAGCGTCCACTCGACAAGGGGTACTTGGAGCCAGGCGCTGGATCAAGGAGTTCGCATACATTAGCTCACTCGATCCTCACGATGATTCTGAGATGGGTCCTGGTATTGTCCTTGCTCTATACAGATGAGGAAACCGAGGTTCAGGGAGGCAAATACACTTGTCAGACTGATAAAAATACCCTAGGTCACCTTGCTGAACTGACTACTAAGAGCATGTGGCCTTAGCTTCTGGGCCTTTAAATGGAAGGAGAGATTGTCTGGGTGGAAAGGCCCAGAGAGGCCCTACACTGTCTTTGTTGATCCGAAGTAACAGGGGCTCATCATTGGCACCACACTGTCTCTTTAGTCCTGCTGTCCCTAGTCCCTGCCCTCCCGTCACCCCGGGCTCCACCCTCAGGGATTTCTCCATTCCCTAAACACTCCATGCCCACCGAAGCCTCTGAGCTTTGCACACTCAGTTCCCTCTTCCTGTCCTCCATCCTTCATGTCTGGCCCACTCCAGCTCATCCTTCAAGAGCCAGCCCAAATTTTCTTTCCCCTGGAAAGCCTCCCCTGACCCCCACCCCCAGGCAGAACCAATCCCATAATTTCTCTGTTCCCATGGCATTTTGTACTTTAGCAAATTTAAACCTTTTCTGTACACACACACACACACACACACACATGCACACACAGAGAACTTCTTTAGAGGAGGCAAATAAATTAGTCTTTGTTTTTAATTTATGCCAGCTCTCTCATCCTGACTTTAAACACCGCCACCTCATTTGTCTTATTAAGTACTTACTTTCGCTTTTAATTAGTGCTGTTCATCGCCGCTGAATTTTAATTGTCAGTGCAGGGTCTCAGCAGGCCTCGGGGTGGATGCTTTACAAATGTCTCCTGTCCTCCTGTAAGGCCGGAGCCTGGGTGGCATTGCCTCCGAAGTGGGGGGAAGGAGGTTCCATGCAGTGGCTGAAGGCCGGTGTACCTTTCCCAGATCACAACTCATTCTGGCTGCCAGTGCAGTCCCCGTTTGCTCCAAGGTGACTGGTCTATGAAGACACACAGAATTCAGGAGTGTCGCAACACAGAAATTCAGTTCAAATTTGACTTGGGTGGGGGAGAAAGGTAAAAGCCAAAACAATTTGGCTCATGGTACCTAAAAAGGCTATAACAGATTCAGGTAAGGCTGGATCCAGCATTCCAACACTATCATCACCAAAGTGAGGAATCAATCTCCATCTCTCGGCTCCCCTTTCATCCTTTGGTGGGCCTGTCTCATGTGGTAGCAAAAGTCATCAGCTCCAGGCTTCTGTTCTTTGAGCTTGGCAACTCCACTGGAAACAGAGTGCTTCCATGTAGCTCCAGAAGTTTTAGGGAAGGCTTTCATAGGTCCAGATTGGGTCATGTGACTACCCCTGAACCAATCACTGTAGCCCATAGGATGTACTGCGCTCATTGGCCAGGCAAGGGTCACTGGCCTACCTCTAGGAACCAGGTTTGGGTGAGCGCCGCCTGAACCACACAGATTATAGATAGAGAGTGAGCGATGACTTCTCAAAGGATAACTGTGGTGCCTCTACCCCCAAGAAGGGGAGATAATGTTCAACAGGCAAAACCGAGCCATCTGAACTGCACATATCCACCATGGAGTCTCACTCAAACACACACCTGGGGTTTGTTTTCCCCTCAGCCCCCCCCTCAAATGCCATCAACACTCACCTCCTTGCCTCAGACCTGAAAAGCATTTTAGACCAAAATGTTCCTGCACATCAGGAAGAATTCTGCAAGGTAGGCATGGCAGAGACAGGGATTTCTGTGTCCCCATTTTACAGGTGCAAACACTGAGGCCCTGAATGACTAAGCGACTTCCCAGAGGCACACAGACAATGAACAGGGGGCTAGGGTGGGATCCCAGGACTCTGGGTCTGAGGCCAGCAATCGTCCTAACCGTGGGCCACTCTCTCAGTCAGTTTCTGCTGCAGAACAAAGCACCCCCCAGGGTAGTGGCTTAGAGCAACAACCCACATTTACCTCGAGTTGTTTAGGTCAGTGATTGGGTTGAGTCTGCTGGGCGGTCCTCTGGTCTAGGCCAGACTTGGATGATTTCGCCCGGGGCCTCTTCACATCAGTGGTCAGCTTGTGCGTTGGCCGGGATGGGCTGCGTGATGACTGTGACAACCATGGTCCCCACCACACAGTCACTGACAACCATGTCCACAATGCGGAGCCGTGGGAGATGGGCTCTGTGCTTACCTCACAAACCTGTAGAATGGGGACCATCCTGTGGGATCGTTTGACGGCTCACAGCAGGAGCCATCTGTTGTCACTACACAGTGATGAGGTGGGTGTCGCCTCCCACAAGAGGTGACAGGAAGTTTGCTCAGTTTCAAGGCCAGGAGCACAAAGGTGCCTTCCTCTTGAGCATCTCTTAGGACTGTGTCCACCCTGTCTCGAGGCCCAACCAGCTCAGCGGGAAGGAGCCAGGGCCTGTTGTCCCAGCTGGTTCTCAGAACAGCTCTTCCCTGGCTCCCGCATCAGGGCGGAGCCCCAGTGGTCCTCAGGATCTGATCCCATTACCACTCGGATCTCAGCCCCCACCCCTCTGCCCCTTGCTCCCTCCACTCCAGCCCCTAGCCCCTCCTTGCCATTCCTCCAACTTACAAAGCGCATGCCCACCCCAGGGCCTGTGCGCTTGCTTTCCCCTCTGCCCGGGATGCTCTACCTCAGATATCTACGTGGCTCAGTCTGTTACCCCCTTCAGCTCTTTGCTCAAATATCACCTCTCAGAGAGGCCCCTTCTGACCCCCGATTTAAAGCCAACTGTCCCTCTCAGTCTCCAGTCCCTTTCCCCTGTTTCATTTACCTTTAAAGTGCTCATCATCAGCTGCTACATTTTACATTTGGCTTGTTTGGTTGTCCTCTGTCTTCCCCAGTAGAAGGTAAACGGCATGACCGCAGAGGATTTGCCATTTTGTGTTTGTTTTAACGCAGTATCCCTGGCATCTAGAGCGGTGCCTGGCACATAGCAGTGGGTGTGCTGGAAATATTCTTCGTGCAATTCCGTGCTTTAAAGTATCGGCTTAATTTTACTTTTAAATAACACTGCATGGGCTAAGCAGAACCTATTTTCGGCCTGGATCCTGCCCGTGGACCCCCACTGCACCCTTACTTGAGGCTCCTTGTGTAAGTCACATTCCCACCCCACTAGAAGGTCTGAGTGAGTTTTTCCAGATTCCTCACTGAGCAGCGATGGCCTCGGGAAGAGGGGAGGGGCAGGGAAAGAGACGGAGAGATGGAACTGCCCGGGCACCGTCCTGGTTGGTGGCTGCATGTTCTGCTGTGAAGCATCTGGTTTCATTCCAAGACTGTGGGGCTTGTGGGTGGGGGCGGGTGACTCTGGCATTGAACTCCAAGAAGACAGCTGAGCTCACACAAGTTCCCTGCAGTGCCCTGAAGTGCCGCCTGAAGCCGGGCCAGCCTGGCCCCCACTGAGTCACGCTTAGGTGCCTGCTGTGTGACTCTGAAGCTAAGTGTGTTTCAAGAGTTGTTTTTCAGTTCCACTAAAATCGGCTGAGATTCTGGGGGGTGTAGGTACCACACTGGTGCTTAGCAAATAGTACTGAAGGAGCCAAAGTAGGTAGGACAAAACGGGGAAGGGGAGGGAGGAGAGGTTCTGAATCTGGCTTTTCTGGGTGTGGGAGGGGTTCTTGGGGCAGTCATACACGCAGGGGATGTCACCGTTAACGCCAAGCCGTGGAGGTAGGCAGAGTGGATTCAGTAAACTGAATCCCGGGCGCCCAGGCCAGGGGATGACGAGATGTGAAGGTTCTTTTTAGCAAATTTCTTTCCCAGCAGGAGTCATCTCTTCTTTCTGGTTTTGAAGTGGGAAGAATGAAATGATCAGATCAGTCTGGGAAGATGATGTTAATCACACAGGAGCAGATGAAATGGCTTCCCTGTAAGGGGTTTCTCTCCCCTGTGTCCAATCAGGAACCCCACCTGCCTCTGGCTTCACCCACCCGAAGATGTAATCATCCCACAGGCTGCAGGATGGGGACGAATTGTCTCCCTGTCCCCCTCCCAGTGACCCGCCCGTTCAGTTTCCCTGGATATGAGGCTGTGCTGTAGCCAGACCGTTAGGGAACTCGGGATGCCTGGGAACTCTGACCTCACTGCCCCTGCTGGGCGTGTGGCCTGGAGTCCATGAACCAGGAGAATGCAGGGCCCTGGCCGGGTAGCTCAGTTGGCTGGAGTATCAGCCCCATAGACCAGGGTTGTGCGTTCGTTCCCCAGTCAGGGCACATACAAGAATCAATGAATGAATGCATAAATAAGTGGAACAACAAATCGACCTTTTTCTCTCTCAAATCACTTTTTTTTTTCTTTTTTTTTTTTGAGAGAGAGAGAACAGTGTGGCCTTAAGGGAGGGAGCTTCAGCTCTGGTCCCTTCCTGGCAGTAGGGAGCTGTGACCTCCAGCGGAACTCTCCCTCCTGGGGCCTGAGATTCCCCATCTGGAAGGTGGGCAGGCTGCGTGCAGCCCCCGTCTTCTCTGCATCCCCCGCAGTGCTTGGCAAAGAGCAGGGCCTCAAGGAGAAGTGGCCGAGTAGCTGGGTGATGTCCTCTCTGGCTCTACTGTTTTCCAGGAAACGGGACCTCCGCCATGACCGACACCGTGTTCAGCAGTGGCTCTAGCCGTTGGGTGTGTCCCAGTGACCGACCCCTTCAGTCCAAGTAAGTCCCTGCATCTTCCTGGGAGGGGCTTGTTTCGGGTCCCTGGGGTCCCGGGAGTCCTACCCTTGAAGGAGGAAAGGGATGGCAAGCAAAGCACTAGACTGTCCTTCCCAGAGGTGGGGGAGAAGGAAGCCTGTGGGAGTTTGTCACGGAAGCTTCTCCACTGATTTCACTGCTTTGCAAGGTGGGAACGACAGGCTGAGACCCCGAGCTGCATGCTTCCGACTAGAGGTGGCCTGGTGAGTGGTCACAGCCCGGACCTGGGTTAGAGTCAGACTTGGTTCTGGTTCTCGGGCTTAGCTATTAATTTCCTGTGTGATCCAGGGGGACTCGCTTACGTTCTCTGGACCTCAGTTTCCCTAATCAAGTAAGAAAGATGGACTAGGTCAGAGGTGGCAGACTGACAGGCCACCATCTGCCGACTGTGACTTGCACGAGCGTGTTTTTTCTTTTTTGGCCCAGTTGTTTACCAGTTGGGAAACCCCACATCAAAGTGCCTTTCCATTCTGTCCCCAGCAGCTACTGCACCTGAGTCAGTGGGGTGCTGGACCGGCACCTTCACGGACCATAAAAGATGATGCTCAATTTCTGGAAATTCCACAAGCTGGCTGTTACACATGGCCATTATTAAACTCTACAACTTGACAATTAAATTATATTGAACGCAAGGTTAATCCCTTCTGAATTCTTTTCCTACGCTTTATTATTCCTGGCCTTATTTATGTCTGTTCCACCTGCACGGTGAAAAGTAATAGAACAGCACACTCCTGCCTTCCTCTGCCCAGTTCCGTATGCAGGGGCGTCCTGCCGGTTCTCAAAACCAGCTGCAGGTTCAGCTGTTAACCACCGACCAGCACACCCTGCCTGCCGCCCTTGACCATCTAAGTCCCTTGTGTATCGTTCCCAGAGATAGATGTTCACTCATCGTGACTTGTTCATTTGGTCATTTTGAACGCTTGGTCATTTTTTATTGTGAGCCCAATCTGTGAGACGCTTGGGGAATCTACCTTGGGGACACTTTTCTGCAGAGAGATTGGCATTTGCCACACCCAGGAGTGAGGAGTGCTGCTCACCCAGGATGGCTTGAGCTCCCTTGCAGGGTCCTGGCTCAGCGGAGAGGGAAGGGGTCTCCGGTTCAGCTTCCCTGACTCCTTAGGAGCTCGAGGTCAGCCTCCAGAACACAGTGCCGGGATTTGCATTGGCTAACTGCTCACAGCTCCCTGTTCTGGATTCAGTTTACTGTCTTTTTTTAATTGCTTTTTCAAAGTATGACTGATTGTTTAACAGTGCACATTGGCAGTACAGTTAGACCATTTTATTTATTTTTTATTTTAAAAAAATTTATTTATCTTTAGAAGGGAAAGGAAGAAGAGAGGGAGAGAAATATCAATGTATGGTTGCCTCTCGTGCGTCCCCTGCTGGGACCTGCCCCGCAACCCAGCCATGTGCCCTGACTGGGAATCAAACCGCAATCCTTTGGTTCGCAGGCCCGCACTCAATCCACTGAGCCACACCAGCCAGGGTACAGTTAGACCATTTTAAACATGTCTGTATACTCAAGCCCTTTTTTCTCTCGCCTTGCCCCTCCCATTCCTAGGCAGTCGCTAACCTTCCTTCTGTGCCTGTACATGAATGTACACTTTCTAGACTTTCGTCTGAATGGAATCGTGCAGTGCACACTGTTCGGGGAGGAGAGCCGTGTCTCTTCTCTCCCACAGAATGATTATTTCATGATCCGTCCATATTGTTTTGCATATCAACAGTCTGTTCCTTGTTGGTGGTGAACAGCACATTTCGTGGTGTCTATTCGTTTATCTATTGATGGACATTTGGGTGGTTTCCACGTTTTGGCTGGAACAAATGAAACTTTGTATAGACACACACTTCTGCTTCTCTTGGGTAAATGCCTAGGAATGGCAGGCCTAGGTCATAGGGAAGGTGTATATTTAGCTTTTTAAGAAACTGCCAGTCTGTCATCCAAATTGATTGTCTCATTTTAAACGCCCAGAGCAGAAGTGTAGGAGATACCCTTTGCAACAGCATGGAGGGAACTGGAGAGCATTATGCTGAGTGAAATAAGCCAGGCGGTGAAAGACAAATACCATATGATCTCCCCTTTAACAGGAAGCTAAACAACAAAATAAACAAGCAAAATGTAACCAAAGACACTGAAGCAGAGAACAGGCTGTCAGTGACCAGAGGGGAGAGGGGAGGGAATTTTAGGAGAATTTCAGGGGAAAGGAGGTTTACAGGAACAAACATAAAGGACACATGGACAAAAACTAGGGGCGGTGGAAGTGGGAGGGAGGTGGAGAGGGAAGGGTGGGTGGGCTGGGATGGGAGTAAAAGACAGAAAACTGTACTTGAATAACCATTAAAATAAAATTTTTTTAAACTATAATTAAATATATTTTTAAAAAGAAGTGTAGGAGAGGTCCCGCCTCTCCACATCCTGACCAGCACTTTTGTGACCAGTCTTTTCCACGTTAGCCATTCTGGTGTGTGAATAGTGGTGTTTCTTTCCCGAGTGGCTGTGAGGTTGCTTATCTTCTTCCATAACTTGTCCCCATACGACCTCTTGGTGGAATTGTCAGATGCTTTGTCCACTTGAAACGCAGGTCATTTAACTTCCTGTAAGTTCTGCAGGATTTCCCCCCACAGGTTTAAGACAAAAGTCCTTTGCTGGGTATGCATTTTGCACCTATTTTCTCAGTCCAACCCTTGTTTTTCTCTTTTCCTAACAGACTTTGGAAGAGGGAAAGTGACTCTTATTTTGATGACGTCTGTTTCGTTTACTTATCTTGAAAGGGGGAGGGATTGTTGGAGAGTTACGTTGCTTTTTAATCACACTGAACTAACTGCATAGAAAGAGTGTTGCTCTGATTTACCCAGGACCTCATTACGCATTAGCCGAGGCATCTTTCCGAATAGCCGGTCCCTCCATGTTCTCGGGTGCACAAGCCCCTGTCTCTTTACTTGCTCTACCCCCAACCCGAGTCTTCGGGTTTTGAAGACAACACTGAGCCCTACTGGTTTCTTTTTTGAAAAGAAACACCTGCCCCTCCAAGCCCTTCCCACGACATCCCCCGGGAACCAAATTGTTTTTGCAGAAAATATTCCAGCAGCTAAAAAGTGTGTCTCTGTAAGATAAACCGTTGCCTGAAGGGTGGATGGGGTGAAATATTTATTTTATTTTTGAAATGTCAGTTAATTAAAATCCCATCCATCTGCATTTACTTTAGTGGATACAAAGCCAAACAGTTTGCTTTACTGTTAGATTAGAATTCTGCAAGCAGCCGGCCTGCGGGCTCATCAACAGTGCTCCCTGGCTGCCGCGGAACATCTTGGCATTCTGAGTGCATCTGGGCCGGCTGGCTTGCTACCGCATTTTCTTCAGATATTAAAATTGTTTTCCAGTAAATGCTAATGGGTGAATTATAGTCATCACACATGCTATCTAGTCGGCTGCAGACGCTGCTAATGTCTTTCTCCGGGAAATTAAGAACTCTAGTCTTCATTAGCTGCTGGCTACCCAGGTACACTTACTGCTTTCGTGACATTCGTGACATTTGAGACATTTGAATGCCTTCCCCTGTCCGCCTCTGTGAGTCGAAGGGTGGTGTCCCAAACACAGGCCCGTGCTTGAAAGAGGTAAATGCATCTGCTTCGCGTGAGGGCAGGCCAGCGGTTTAACTCTTTACGTTGGGAAAAGCACGGGGAGTGATGCTGGGAAGTTGACGCTTCTCCACAGCTTTTAAGACGGCAAACCAGAGAGCGCCAGCGATCAGAGGTGGAAACGGAGGCTGGACCAGAGGGCGTGTGGCAGGCGTTTGTCCATGCTCACGCCCCTCACTAGTGGAGATGCCGGTCTCCTTTCTGGAACGGAGCTCTGCTTCCCCAAAGGTGGGCGCTGAACGTGCTACTTCTGGATGACCCAGGGACCCTTCAGGGCTCGAGTGGCCCTCCTCAAAGTGTTCAAAACAACAGAAGCCGAGGATGACGTCGGCCAGGTTACCATTCAGTGATCTCTCAATAGGGCCCCAAACCCACTCTTTGAGTACGTCCACGATCAGCTCAGTTCCTTGGTAAGCTGAGCTGATTGGCCGTTTTGAGCACAGCTGAGTATTTCACAGGCCTGAGTCGCAGCAGCCTGGTTAAGAAGATCACAAAGACTAGGGCGGGAGATGGAAATAGGTCATTGTCATTTAAACTGTGCGGTTTTGCAGCCGGACGGTTTTGGGTCGTTATGAGATTTCTTTCCTGACTTGACTTTTTTTTTCTTTCTCTCCTTCCTCTGCCTTCCTTCAGTGATAAAGAACAGTGAGTATCTTATGCTATTTTATTCTTCAACCAAGTGAATTGAATTTCTTTTCTGATGCAGGTGGCTTGCCCCTGCAGAGAGATGGTTAAAAAAGGAACTAGCAAATTTTACCTATCTAAAAAAAAAATCAAATGCTGAAACACACACACACACACACCCCTTTGAGGAAAAAAATTATGAAATTTCTAAAAATACCTTTTTAAAAAGATTTTACTTATTTTTAGAGAGAGGGGAAGGGAGAGAGAAAGATGGAGAGAAACATCAGTTGGTTGCCTCTCCTGCGGGCACCAACAAGGGACTGAACCCCCAGCCCAGGCATGTGCCCTGACCAGGAATCAAACTGGCAGGCTTTTGCTTTGTAGAATGACGCCTAACCAACTGAGCCACACCAGTCAGGGTCAAAAAAAAAAAAATACACTGATAAAAGGATGGAAAGTGTTGCTTAGGAGAGCCCTTAGTTTCATTCTTGTGAGGAACAGCGAGCTTTCAGCAGGTTTACCCGCCACTCGGTGCCTGCTCCTGCAGCATTTGCCTCGGAGCTCTGTTCCGAGGTAAAGAAAAACGTTAGCTCAGCTGCCACCATTAATAAAAGATGGTGACGGACAGCAGAGCTCGTGGCAAGCTACGTGCTGTGTATATTGCCCCCGTCACCTCCTGGAAGGTCAGCCTGCTTTCCCAGTGAGCTGCCCTTGGCTCAGAGGTCATTGCTCTGCTCACAACTTTTGTGTTTTAAATTGCCTTCATTTCCCAAATAGGCGTGACAGATTGGATGCTGCGTCCAGCCGGGCTGCCGAGCAGACCGGGCTCTGGTTGGGTGGGCTCTTTCAGAAACCGCGGAAAGTCATTCCCCCCTCCCCAGGGCGGGCACAGTATCACGGGCCGCAAGCAGAGCGCGAGGTCTGGCGTCAGAAGACCCAGCTGAGCACTGCTCTGGGACTCAGCATCCTGTGGCCTCCGGCACGTCGTCAGCCTCCCTGAGCCTGGCTCTCTCCTTTGTAAGACAGGCGGGGCAGCCTCTGCCCTTCCTCCTCGCCAGGTGCTGGTGGGATGCAGTGAGATGCGCAGGAAAGCTCTGTAAACTGTGAAGCGCACGGAGCAAAGCCAGAGGAAAGTGTGAATCACACGTTGCCTTAGCCTGTGTGTGTATTCAGTGGACATGCATATACTCATACATAATATATGTATGTATGTATCTTGTATATATACATTGTGTATATCTGTATAGATATCATTTCTTCAGCTTTCTGGCCCCAAACAACCACATCGTCAGGCCTGGGAAATCATTTTCCCGGTTCTGTGTCTCAGTTTCTCCATCAGTCAAATGGAAGCTTTGCACGAGCTGATTGCCGAAGACCATGTGAATGTTCTACAGTTTCTGTTGTTGGCTGGTAAGACTCTGGCCAGACTAGGTCTGCTTTTGATGAGTGCCCTGGGAGAGACATTGAGACATTGTCGGGTTATAAACATGAACATCCCAGGAGAGGGGCCTGTGACTCCAGAGGGTCCAGAGGGTCCAGAGGGTCCGAAGGCTCGTGAAGTCTTCCTGAATACTGCAGGTCAACCTCCTTCACTGCCCTCTCCCCTCCTTCCTCCCCTCCTTCCTGCCCCCTTCTTCCCCCTCTTCCTTTGTAAACAAATACCAACTCTCTACTGCGTAGCAAGCCCTGTCTTAAGTACCAGGAATACAGGGGGAGCCAAAGTATGAGGGTGTGTCTAGAGGGATCTGTGAACAAATAGCCAATCAGCAACAAACATACTCCAGCGAACTAGGAGCTCTGATAGAGTCACAGTGGGCTGAGAAATGCAGGTGGGGGGCACCTGGCCCAGACTTGGGGGTCATGATGAGGGAAGTGAAATGTAAGATGAGACCAAGTGAAGCTAGAGCAAGACAAAGATGAGCCAGGGGAGTTCCAGGCAGGGGAACAGCATCTGCAAAGTCCAGACACGAGAGCAAGCGTGGAATTTTAGAAGAACCGAATGAAAGTCGACCTGGCTTAACAGATTAGCAGGAACCCTCGATTCCCTTAGCAGTCCGAAGGGGGTGGGGGACCGTGGCTTCCCTCTGCACCCCCTTTACTCTGGTCAGGGTACATTTCACCCGGAAGGGCCTTTCCACCAGCAGGGCATATCTCAAGCATTTTGTGGTACGGCTGCCCCTCCTTCCCCATTCTTTCCTTGAGGATTCATTAAAATCTCAGTCACTGAGCGGTAATGCTGCTTCCTGCTGACACCTGCGGCCCACATCCTGGGGGAAGGGAGCAGGTAAGGAGAAGAAAGGAGAGAAAAAGGATTAATTTTCCGCCTAGCACTGCTGTGTAATACTTTGGTGCCCCGGCAGCACCTCCATCTTTGCCCTCCTTTTGGGAGTTATAATTTATTAAAAGAGACATCTGGCACATGTTCATGGCGTGACTATTGTGTGCTCGACCTGCAGAGTTAAGGTGGGCAGCAGAAGGAGGTAGGAGTCTGCCCTGGGCCGTATTTTAGAGAGAAACATCTGTGAGGCGCCCCTACCTGCAGCCAGGACTAATTCCTTTTGTGTCAGGGGGTCAGAGGTGCTGGTTTTGGTGGGAGGCTTCCTCTGATCCTCTCTAGATGCACCTGCACTGGTACATGCAGGTAGCAGTCTGCACGTCCAGGATGCTGGTTTCTTGAGCCTCTGGCCACACTCCGCGTATGTTTCTCCATCATTCCCTTCCCTCCTCTGACAGGCAGGCCTCTGGAAAATGAGCAGGGCGGGTGCAGTGGTCTTTAGACTTTCGTTATAAGTGAAATGCTTTCTTCCAATAATTTATTCTGAAGCTAACTAGATGAGACAGGTACGAATGGAGCTGGATAAAGAACTTTGGCAGCTAAAAATGGTAGACACATCATGGTGAACTTTGTGCAGCTGTAGTTTAAAATGGTACCATGCTATAAAATAAATGTAGGGAGTCTAACACACTTCACCTTTGCTTGTTGTTGTCTAGTGGTTACTGTATCAGCTGGCTGTTGCTGTGTAACAAACCATCTTAAAGCTCAGTGGTGAAGAACAATGGCTTGTTCCCAGGAATCCGGGCTCAGCTGGTGGCTCTGCTGATCTTGGCTGGACGCACTTCTGTGTTGCAGGGTGGGCTGACCTGGGATGGCTGTGGCTGGAGTGACTCGGTTCTGCTCCACTTGTCTGTCATCCTCCCACCTTCTACCCTGGGCCTGTTGTCACATCTTGGCAGAGGTGTAAGAGAGTGAGCGGATTCACACAAGGCTGTCAGGCTTCACTTTGGGGACGGCGTAACATCACTCGTGTGCATTTTACTGACCAAAGCAAGTCGTAAGTCCAGGCAGGATCCAAGGGGCAGGGAAATACATTCCAACTCTTTGGTGAGGGCCATTTAAAATTCGCGTGGCAAAGGGCATGGATACTTAGAAGTATAGAGGTCACCCAGACAGTAACCCATATGTCCTGCTTTTAGTAAATAGCAAACATTGAAGTCTTTACATTTTTTCTTTTAGTTTTCTTTACCGGAATCCTTGCTTTGTTAGTGTTGGGGACCCGGCATTGCCATCTGGCTGACATGAGGGTGGAGGACCTACTTCCCTGCCCACCCTGCCCCTCTGCAGCCCCCTCCCCTGCAGCCCTCAGGGGGAAAAGTTTGGAAACTGTGGCTTAGGCAATTGGGGGAGTAGGAGGTAGGTGCCCTTTCCTGTTCTCCAGAAGCCTCGTCCTAAATATGTAAGAGTGGAGACAGGCCAGCCCCCTGGGCCCTCCCCCGTCTCAGCCAGTAAGCCTGGGGTCCCTCCTCACCCAGCCTCCAAGGGTCCCAGCAGGAAGCAGACATGAAAGCGTTCTCACCAGATCCAGAAGCTGCCGTTCAGAGTGGTGCAGAGCGGCGCGGTAGACACTGCTAACAAGCGACGGATCCAGATTTCCAACCTCGAACTGTGCCAGGTCAAGGCTGGTGCACAGTGGGCCCTCTGGGTTTTCTCTAGATTGGACACGCTGCTCTGAGTCACTTGTCCCAGGAAGCAGCACTTTGCCAGACAGCCTCGGTCTTGAACGAGATTGCAACCCTGGATTCTGGTCTTATGGACGTGAGGCTGGAATCCTGGGCCCAGAGGCCTGTTTAACGAGGAAGCCACGCTCTTGTCACAGGAGCGTCCCTGAGGCGCCCATGCTGGCAGTGCCCCCCAGCCCAGGGGAAGCCCAGGGTCGACCTTGAGAGCCAGCGCTTTGGTTTGAAAGCCTTCTCGTGTCCCTCAGTGTGCTTTGGGTGTGACCACCAGGGGGCAGGTCTCCTGGGGGACCCTCCTGGGGGCTGGTTACCACATGGACCGTTCTTTACCTCCACGGGCACACTGCCCACTTTCTCCGCTCCGGGCCTTTGTAAAGACCACCTCTCTGACACTTCTGGTCTCTCCCTCCGACTCCGCCCACCAACTCTAGCTTATTTACCTTTGGGGTCTCAGAGGGGCCAGCCATAACTCTGTGGGGCCTAAAGTGTATATAATTAGAGGGAGGCGCCCTTCAAGGTAAAGAAGACAAAAACATCTTGCTCTTGCACATGTTTCCGCTCCTAGGACTGTTCCTAGGTCCCAGGCCGGGGTCCTGGCAGGTGCAAACAAGGCCCCCACGTGGACGCTTCACCAGCGTCACCGAGAATCCCTATCAGGGTCTCAGTGCGGATGTCGCCTCCTTGGGGCACTCCCTCTCGTCCCTAAACTGAGTCGCCTCCATTGCTACAGTCACCGCATGGGTGTCACTTATTGTTAGACACTTAACATCCTGTCTGTTCAGAAGCCTTCTGTGCCTCCTTACTGTCCGCTGCCATCCCAAGGGCCAGGGCACAGCAGTGACTCGGATAAGGCCCCGCACTTCTGGAGGCTCGTTCCGGTTGGTGGGGAGGAGAGGAGAGGCAATAAACAGGTAAACAACTCAATTTCTTCCAAGCAAAAAAGAATTTTGTTTTATTAATCAAAATAGAGAAGGAGCATATAGAAAATAAAACCTGAATGGGAACCACTGTAAACCCATCAGATTGGCAAAGATTCCCTCCTCCTCCTCCTTTTCACGACATAATTTTTTAAAGGTTTTATTTATTTATTTTTAGATAGAAGAGAGGGAGGGAGAAGAGAAGGAGAGAAGCATCAGTGTGTGGTTGTTTCTCGTGCACCCCTCACTGGGGACCAGGCCTGCAACCCAGCGTGTGCCCTGACTGGGAATCAAACCGATGACCCTTTGGTTCACAGGTTGGCACTCAATCCACTGAACCACACCAGCCAGGGCTACAACACAATTTAAAATAATAATAATAATTTGAATTAGTGATGGGTGCAGTGAGGAAAGTGAGCCGGAGCCATGGGGGACCACACAAGGCCTCCCTGAGGAGGTGGCATTTGAACCATGATTTGAATAATGAGAAGTTGCCATCTGCGGAGCGATCTGGGGAGCTAAGTATTCCTGGGAAGGGGGCAGCAAGTGCAAAGGCCCTGAGGCAGAGGCAGGGTTTTGGTGTTTAAGATGGAGCAGGGGGGCCAGTGAGGTTAGAGTGTAGTGAGGGGGTGATGGGGATGGAGCAGGTCAAGGTCAGACGAGGTGGGACTTCGCAGATGGGCAAGAAGACGGACCTTGACTTCTATTAATGTAAAATTCACAGAAGGTAAAATTGACCCTTTTATAGCGCACAGTTCAGTGGCATTTAGCACAATCGCTGTGTTGGGCGTCCTCGGTGCAGTTCTGAGTTTCATCTGTTGTCAGCGAGAAGCCGTGAGCGAGGGGAGTGAGCATGCTCAGTCCGCCTTCACCCCCACAGGCCCCGGCTCCCAGGTGTCCTGAGAAGACTTACCCAGACACCTGCTTCCCTTTGCCTTCAAACTCTTCCTTCTCTTCAGTCCAAACCAGCTAAGAGAGGAGGATGGCAGAAGAGGTGGCGGGGAAGGTGGGGCTTTCAATGTCCAACGTTGAGTGTCAAAAGGCAATTTCGTGCCTGCTGTCGAGATTAGAGCAGTAGAAGTAATAGAGGCAGCTGATGGGGTGCCGGCTCGGAAGGACCCCGAGTTACAGTTCTTTTTTCCCCTGACGGGGACTGGAATTTCTAGTGGTGTTTAACCCCGCATTCCACACGGGGACGCGCCTCAGCGCCCTGGGGCGTGGGCCGTGTTGTTAGTGGAGAGGACCATAATTTGCAGAGACCGCAGCCCTCTACCCGGCAGCCTCTGATCCTCTGCACCGTCACTGGGCTGCGCGGGCAGGCGCTCAACCTCTCTCTACTGTGGAGGTTACGTGTGCGGGCCGCCCAGGTTCAAAGCCCACCTCTGCCACTTCCTGGCCACGTAGCCTTGGGCAAGTGATCTAATTTTTCCTTATATGAGTCTCCTCTCCAATAAATGGACGGCAACAATCCCTGCCTTGTAGGGATGTCGTGAGGGTTAAATGAAGTAATGCAGGCGTACAGTAGGGATGGTGTCAGGGTCAAATGTGGCAATGTGGGTACCCTGTAGGTGCTACGTCCGTGTTTGCTTTAAAAAAAAAGCCAAGAAGAACACAGGATGAAACTCAAAAAGCTACAGGAACTTTTGAGGCTGGGAATGTGGATGTTTATGTGAAATCAAGGGATTTGTATAAACCTAGTTGGTAACCAGTTTAAATTTATGTTTTAAAAAAATCTGTGGCTCAAACCAAACACCTTTGTGCCAGGCAAGGGCTGGGGACCCCCTGGAGCCCAGGGCTGCAGACCACCCTCCCAGAACTTGTTCCACTCCAGCCGTAGAAGTCTATCCTGGAATCTTTCTCTGAGAACCCATCATCCCCCAGGTTACCATGAGCTTCCTGCAAATGCCGATGACCGAGTGTCTGCCGTGTGCTAAGCACATAGTAAAAATAAGCCCATTGTACTGATGAGCAAACTGAGGCTCAGGAGAGACCATTCTTTGGCCCAGAGTCTCCCAGCAAACTCCCAGTTCACAGTCCCCAGAACTGGGGTCTACCCAACTCCAGGGCCTGGGGCCTACCCACAAGCCTACGCTGCCTCCCGGGCTTCCTGTCCGGCCTCACGCCTTCCCACATTACCTTTCAGGCTCCAGACGGGGTGGTCCGTCCACCCCAGTGGGCAGCCTGACAGACAGAGGAAGCAGGAAGAGTTGACAGATGAGGAGAAGGAAATTATCAACAGGGTGATCGCGAGGGCCGAGAAAATGGAAGCAATGGAGCAGGAGCGCATCGGGTGAGTCCTGACACTTCCCATCCCTTTGGAGAGTCATGGGGGGGGGGGCCTGCAAAAGGTTGTGCTGCTCACTGCTCAGGGCAGGTGCTGGGGCAGGCGGGGCTGCCCTGAGGCTTGGCCATCCATGACCCACCCGGCCACCCACCCAGGCAGAACTGGAATCCCTATCACATGAGGTTGAAGAGCCGGAAGAGGAGAGGGCGGGCGGGGGGGTGGCGGCTGGGGAGGGCACTTCTCATCTGCATGTGCATTGAGAGGGTGAGTGGGTGGTCTTCTGATGGGGGGAAGGAGATTATCACGGAGGCTGGAGGTGCTGGTGTGTGAGCCAACTTCAGCCTCACAGAAATGGGTTCCAGAGACATTGGCCATGCAGAGGCGAGGTGAGGAGGTGAGAGAGATGGAATCAGAGACTGGACGTACGAGGAAGGGCACACCTGACGGGAATTATTTGAGAGACCCGGAGAAACCAGTCCGGAAAGGGAGGCCAGTGTGACGGCGAGGTGGCCGCGGTTCCCCCGGCGGGTCTGGGCTCCAGCCCCCGGCTCCGTCCCACTCCCCACCCAGCCGTGGGTCCTGGGCACATCACTCACTTCTCCGGGGCCCGGTTTGCTCACTGGTGGAACGGGGAGAATACCAGTAATCATGCGCAGGGATGCTGTCTGGAATAAGTAAAATGATTTAAATGTAGTGCCTGGCCCTGGGATACTTTGTGTTTAATAAATGGTGGGAAGAAGGAAAAATTAGGGTTCAGAGGGCAGAGATTTAAAAAATGTGTGTGGGAGAGAAGCAAGGCCATAAGAAGGACATGTGACAGTTGTGACAGAGTGACCACATCCATGAGCAGGGACAGTGCTGGAGAGAGGGGAAGCGGTACTGGGATGGGCTTGAGAAGGGTGGGGCTGGGGAATGCGGGTGATCCTCAGAGGGAGGGGTCAGAGGGGAGGGGTGACAGAGAAGAGGGGAGGAAGGGTCTGGGGAGCGTTCTGCATGGCTGGGAACTCTGGCTGCTGGGACACCGGGAGGCCACCAACTGGTCCTCCGAGACTGGACCCTGAAATGAGAAGAGGGAGGGGGCGGGGTGGCGTCTCCCCAGCCCCTCCCTGGGCCTTCATGCCAGGGGCCACCTTTGCCAACTGCTTGCAGCAGATCTAGGCACTGAGGTGCCCGTGTAACCTCTCGCCCCCACACTCAGCTTGGGATTCAGCAGGCTCTTGGATGGGTGGTGATGTCACAGACAGGCGGGAAGTGCGTGCCTTCGATCTGAGCCTCTGCAGATACCTCAGGGCAGACCGGGGAAAGCAGAGGTGCAGCTGACCAAGGACAGAGACCCCCGTAGCCTGCGTCTGCCTCCCCGTGAGGGTGCTGAAGGTGAAGGTCTTTGACGGGCCTGCTTACAGGGTGGAGTTTTTATTTTGCTTTTTAAGATGGATCAGAAGTGAGGAGCTGTCCAGGCTGGAAGTCTGTGAGTATGTGATTTTGTATGTGTGTGTGTGTACGTGTGCTTGTGCATGTCTGTGTGTGTTCACCCACCAACAGGCCTGCACCTTGCAGGAAAGAGGGGTGTAGGCGTTAAAGATAAACCCTTAGACTCAAGACTTCCTCTCGGCCTTTTTCCTGCGTATCACTACCACCAGCCAACATAGTTTTTATTTACCTGTTTGCTTCGATGATTGTTCATTTCTCCCTGTTAGACAATAAGGTTCCCCAGGATAGAGATTTTTGCCTGTTTGTTCACCACTGAATCCCGAGAGCCTCGTACCTAGTAGGTATGCAGTAAAATGTTTGTTGAGTGAATGCGTGAAAACGGCAGGCAGTGCTGCCTCCTAATCTCTCTGTACATCGCCTGTGGCCGAGAGCCTGGAGAGTTTGGAATGTTGTTGGAGCCCAGGGTCCAAGTTCCCAGGGAAGCCACTCTGATTGGCTGGCTTATATCAGGTGCTCGCTCTCTCTCATCCAATCAGCTATGTTGCCCATGTTATATAAACATGGCTGTTGGTCTGACTGGGGGTAAAGTTAGGGGTGGGTGTCTCTGAGGGCTGAAAAGATTCTAGCTCGAACATTCTAGAACAGGGTAGATGGGTTCCCTTCCTTGTTCTCCATGTCATGTGGTACTGCCCTCAACTAACCTGGTGACATGATGGCTCATTACTAGGGCCCCAAAGTCAGGAAGACCTGGGCCCACTTCCCCCCTGTGTGACCTTAAGTAAGTCATTTGCCTCCCTGTGCCTCAGTTTCCTCATCTGCAATGTGGGGATGCATTAACATGTACTTCTCAGTGAGTGCTCAACGTACAGAGGATTAGTGTGGTCCCTGGCCTGGAGCATCCGCTCAATCCATAAACGGTGGCAATCATTCAACAATGAATCTGCTGCGGAAGCCAAATTTTTGACAGTGGCCCAGACCTCCATTCTAGAATTATGCCCCGAGATTCCCATTTGGCAAGCCCTGGAATTGCAGCGGCCCACGCCTTCCACTGAAGGCGATCGGAGAGGCTTCCAGGGAAGCTGGGGCCAAGTTGTTGGTGGCAGAGTCTCCCTCTGCCGAGAGGCTGTGTTTTCTGCCAGAGCCGAGAGGACAGGCAGCTGTTTTCCCACACCCTCCCCACAGGGAGGCCTCGCTGGCAAACCTGTCTGTGTCTCATGAGCTTGAACCTGCCCTCCTTCCAGCTCTTCCCACACTTCCTGGGAGAGGGTTAGAGGGGAGTCATAACAGCAAAGCAGCACATCAGACATGGGGTGAGGCTGAAAACAAGGGGCCATCGGGGACCCCACTTCAGAGGCTCACGCTCTCAGTGAACAAGCATTGGGAGCCTCGGTTTCTCCACCGTCCAGCGAGGCCAGTTAGTCCGAGTCTGCTCAGACTACAGTGTGTGTGGGGCGGGGGGGAGGTTGGCTGGGGGACCCGTGCCATGTGGTGGGCTGCCCCTCTCAGAGCGTTGGTGCTCCTTCTTTGTTAAATTTGGGATGTATCTGTGCCCCCTTCTGGTCCCAGACACCCAGCTCTGAGCTGCTGAGTCCTCTCTCCTGTTGTCTGAGGGAAAGCCATCTAGAGAGGTGTGAAATCACCATTCAAGAACGTCACAAATAATCATCATGATGTGTACCCTGTTGAGCCCTTACTGTGTGCCAAGCACTGACTCTGAAGCGTCATATGGATCGGCTCTTTACCTGCTTTTCTCTGCCCTGACAAGCGGGTGCGAGCATTATCCCCATTTTGCTCATGGGGTCAGGTCACTTGCCTAAGGTCACACAGTCAACACACAAGTTCGGTTGGACTGCCTCAGAACTACGCTCTGAACTATTAGGCGTCCTTCCTGTAGGGCTGACCCCAAATGTCTAGACTGCAGGACAAGGAAATTTTAAAAGCTCGGGTTTGCAGGGGCCATTTTGGGAGCCAGAGGCTGGAGCTCCTTCCCTGCTGGCCCTGTTCCGTTCAGACCCGGTTAACCTGTTTGCACTCCATGTTCCCGTGGCTCTGGGAGTTCTGCGGGAGACTCAGCCTGCGGCCTCTCAGGAGGTGCTGCCTTTCTGGGGCAGTTTTGCTAGAGTCAGTCGCCCCCCCGCAGAGAGCCCCAGGAGAATGCAGCCGATCAGAGCGGGTTCTCTACCTGAAGCCTCTTTGCTTCTGCCCAAACCTTTGATCAACACTCAGCCCACAGTCCAGCTCTGCTCCCCAGAGAGAGCTGTGATGGCCAGAAGGGAAATTCATTAAACCGCCTCATTACACCCCCACAATCCTTATTCAAGTGCTAGGCCGGATCTCAGAGTTTGTTACATTCCCTGGCAGCTGCAGGCTTTCTACATTCTTTAGGGCACTTGGCTTGCAAGAACAGAAATTAATTCCAGCGAGGCAGTTACAGTTTTCTATTGCTGCATAGCAAAGCATCCCAAATCGAGTGACTTAAAGCAACAACAGTGTATTACTCTTCATGATTCTGTAAGTTAAGAATTCAGGCGGGGCTCTGCTGGGCGGGTTTTCTGCTCCACGCGGCATGGGCTGAGGTTTCTGACTCAGCTGCATTCGGCTGGCGGCTGGGCTGGACTGGAAGGTCCAGAAAAGTTTTGTGCCCATGTCTATGCCTCACTGTGGTGTATGTGGTCCCTCTCTTTCCTTATTCAGTAGTCTGGCCTGAGGTCCTTTGCATGGCGGCTGAATCCCAAGAGAACAAAAGTGATAATTGCCAGGATTCTTAACAGCTTGGTCTGAAACCAGTAGGGTATTACTCCACCAAATTCTATTGGAGAAGGGAAAAGGATCCCATCTGCTTGTAGAAGAAAGACTTATGCATCCATAGGAAGGCATTAATCCCGGTCATCTTGGGACGCTCTGTCACATTATACAAGGGGAATTTAATATAAGAATTCAGAGCTATCTCAAGGGATCCAAGCCAAGCCTTTTGAAAGGTCTGCTTCTCATCCCACATGGTAGAAAACGTAGCCACAAGACATTTCCCCAGTTGTTATGGTTCTTGGTCCTAATTCCAAACTCTCAGGGAAGGAACTCCGATTGGCTCAGCTCACCCTGAGTGTCCACCTCTCATCCAATCAGCCACGGCCAGAGGCACCAGGCTGCATGGATAATGAGTGCTTTTCCTGAGTGTGAAAAGGGCTTTTGTGAGTTGGACACACTCCCATGAGATGTCTGCAGGATCTTTAGATATATTAAAGCTGGAATTGAACATTTGCTTGGGAAAATTTATTTTTGTGGGTTCTGGTTTTAATTTTTCCCCCCAGTGGTAGGGCCCCTCTGCATCCTTATCATATTTCTTTCTGCTCAGAACCTCTCAAAGGCATTTGCTCACACATCCTGCCTTCGAAGGGACAAGCAGCCTGGTGGCTTCCATCTGAGACCAATGTCCCTAAACAGATGGGCCCCAAAAAGTAATTAGGACTTGTCATTGACCTTGGCGTCCAGATTCTGTGATGGAAGAGGAAGTCAGAGAGACACAACCTGTTGTTGACAGACTCTGTTGGATTCCTGTCACCTCTCTGTCTCAGTTC